CCACGGTGGACGTGATCCATGTGTATCATTGACATAGATCTACAAAACGTATTTTTTAGATTTTCATTTCGAGCTCAGATAAAAAAGTTGTAAAAACGACCTTCGCTATTTTCTTCGCGATTCCGACTAATTGCAGTTTTTTCAAAAATTTATACAAACGTCGGAATGACGGCCAAAAACCATTTCTCTAAGCCTTATAAAAACTGCAGTGCAAAGTCAAATTTTTTTGACAGCAATCGAGAACCGAGAAGTCACGCGTACGCATTTGTTCGATCGTGCGCGGATGAGCCTCTGTTCTTCGCCCCTGGGCGCGGGCTCTACGCGTGCTGTAATTGGCCAGTGTTTTCGTTAATAACTCGAAAACGAAGCTTCAAACTGGATTTTGGAAAAGGAAAAAGTTGTTCAGAGTCACCCCAGCTACCCCCTATTTTCGGATGTTCGAGGAGTTACGGGACACCCTGTATATAGCCACTTATTATTATTATCTCGTTTGTGGAATCCGAAAAGGTTTTTCATCCTCGTAAATTGAAAATTTATTATGCCTCCGTTTCACGAAACGCATATAAAATTTCGAGGAACCCAAACGGGAATCGAACCCGGGACCTTCGGCTTGGCAAAGTTTTTCCTCGTCTGTTCCCTATTTGGGTATGGAGGTCCCCGATACTGCAATATTTTATTCCCGCAATTTTTATTTTATCTTGCATATTATAATACGAAGGAACTTTGTTTACGATCGAATCCTTCGGTTTCAAAACTTCTGCCGACACAGGTACACCCATGCTCAAATTTGAGCCATTATTATGGAACATTTCTTTCATATTTTTAATATGTAACCGTCCCCTATCTAGACCAATGCTTGTGTGTTTCCGCAAAAGCCGCAATCGAAAGATCTTATTCCAGGCCTTACAGAAGCATTTTAATTCGTCTGAAGAAACACACCTCTTGTAGAAACCGACGGAAAAATTTTGAGAGACCCAACCGGGAATCGAAGCCAGGACCTTCGGGGCGGCTTGGCAAAGCCGAGGCTTTGCACACTACGCCAACAACTCCTTCTCTATTTTCCTTTAAGGATTCGTCAGCGCCATACCAATGACGCTGAAATCTTTTCTTATATTTCTTGGCGACCCCACAATCCATTATTACCTCAATTACAATTGTTAAACCACGAAAAACACAATTAAATTACTATTTACGCATTATATATTTCACGAAACGCACACGCGAAAGGATATGTAACGGACGGGTTACAAATGAAAATGTTATTATTACTTTTACAGCTTCTTAGTTTATGCCGAGTAGATTCCGTATCGCGTGCACCTACATACATATGTCAGACTTTAACCGTTTAACTGAAAAGAGCCCCAAGCGGCGCAATAGCATTTGTCTTTATGTCGAAAACAACCAAGCTCTTTCGCGCGCGCTTCTTTTAATTTACGTGGATTAGAGTTAACAAGAAGATTAAATAGATACCTGTTCCTCGCGGATTTTGATGAAATTTGGGGGGATGAATCTAGGAGTCAAAAAGTGACATTCTTTGAAATATTTAATTTTAATGCACATTTTTTATGAACATTTGTTGGATTATTTCTAACAACACCCTATGGAAATAATCAAGTGAGGACAAAAATGTCTCCGGGTTATTTTAAACAATGGCACTGGGACTTCCACCAGATGCATCTGGTGTTCGTCTTCGAGTCACTCACTGCACAATGCCATACCATAGTGTAAACAGTTTCTAGGTATAAGGGGACCCCAACTTTCTTTTGGGTGCCTAGAAACAGTCCTTCAGAAGATTCAATAGAGTAAAGACGTTTCCTCTGAGACCGTAAATAAAATCGTATATTACAAAGATAAAAGACTATTTAATTCCATAACCCATTTCCAATAACATTTGAAATTACTTCTATAAAACTTTGGAAATTTAAGTGATGTTCATCATTTAATGAGCTGTAACACAGCTCACGTAAACAAGCTATATGTACATATCGGTAATTTATTCCTATTCTGTATCATAACCCCACATCCGTTATCATTCTCTTCGTATTTCGTATTATTGTTATAACATTTTAATAAAGCTGCAAACGACCTATGTTTATATAACATTTTTTTTCTTGCTTATACCCATGGAAGGTACTAACAAAGTTTGATCGGAAAAAACTGGGACACCCTGTATATATCGAATATTTTTCAAAGAACACGTCACATTCACGAATTTCAGAATGCTTTCAAAACCCGTTTACACCACGTCCAATCGACGAAATGCTATCGGGGTGGGTTTGGTGTTCGAAGCAAATCTCTTGTTGTAACCCGTCGGTAAGGCGAAGTCCTGAGCGCAATCGACAGTCGATACGATCAACGCCGCCTAACACGGTGCACAGTGGGCCAGGAACCCCCAAAAACTGGCCAAAAGTCGATTTGAGAATTAGCGTAAAAAAGACATATCATCATACTCAGGAATAGTTAATGTACATATCTACAAAATATTTTGTTGATTCAACAATTCCTGTTCCATTGGCATTGATCTAAAGTTGGTAAACGCTTTAAAATTGCTGGTATGTCTCTTTCTGGTAACATGAATGTTATTCATCAATTTATGTATAATTTATGAAATTTTTTTTTAATTTATTTATACATAGATACATAGCAATTAAGGATAACACAGATAAGTTACGAAAGTTAACTAGAAATTGTAATATTTTATTCTTTATTGTCATACTGTAACCATATTTCGCAGTATCTTCACCTTTCAATTAAGAATTCCCCTAAGTTCCACCTCTTATCAAGAAAAATGAAGCTTAAATGTGTTCTTTGGAATGTATACTATAAGATAGGACTGCTCCATTTTGCTCCTTTTGATGTCCTATTGAAATAAATATTATTTAATAACGACCGTACGCGCGCAGTTGGATACTAGACTACGGTCGAATATACACACCGGGCGGAACAGGTAAAGGCTGTTTTCTCGGAAGCCATTGTAGATATCAACTTGAAACTTTTAGATGTTAAATGGTATATAGAGATTAACATTTTAGAATGTAAGATAGTGTCGGTGTGAGTTCCTTAAGGGTGGAAATGGTGCCACACCCATTTTTTTTAAATGAGATGACATATTAACTTTTCCATATTCGGAAAGATGTTATCAAACCTAACAACTTTTTATCTAAGGCATTTCTTTTTATTCTGCATAGTTAAGGAGTTATAGCGGAAAAACCTTACGGAAGGGGAGTTTCGTGTCTGTGTCGAAATATATCAAATGAAATTCGTGGTTTATGGCATGCTATTAAGCTATTCAGCCCGAGAAGCAAGAATAATTAAAAATCTAACAAAGCAATTCTAATGACCTTCGCCAGGATGTACTTTAAAACGTACAAACAATAAATGACAATACCATATTTTTGCAGTTGATTGTGCCATAAACCGTTCTAAAGAAGACCTAACATATGAGGCAATTTATTGTTGTGAAATGTTATAAATTTTTAAAAATTTTTGGTTTTTCTTTACTTGAAAGGCATAAAGGGAGATAAGTTTTTGACTCCTTAGAAGCTGATGAATTTATAACACTTTACAACAATAAATTGTCTCATATGACAGGTCGTTTAATTAGTAAAAAGAAAAAAGAAATTTGTATCCATTCCACCAGAGATAAATCATTTGTTAGCTGCTCCTGAAATAAATGTGAGCAGCTGTACTATTTCTCATGTACACGATAGTGACAGTGAAGACATGAATGCAGATGATGACGAAGGGAGTAAAAGTACAGATCTTCTACACATTTTCACACAATTAGATAAGCTTGAACTGGCAAATGAACTGACAGAATTTTAAATATATGTTTAATAAAAAACGATTGACGTTACCTACAGAATGATAAATAGCAGCAAGACGACTAACTTACATTCTTTAACATCTCGAGTAGTGAGAGGCAAGGGGACTCACTGTAATAAAGCACCCCGAATTTCCGAAATGGTAATTATGGAGCTTCAAATCGTACTATAACCTCCTCGTGGTAGGCTCTGGAAACTACAAAAATTGTAGGCAAACTACAGGCGTTTTTATTAGAAAATCTTATTTTTTTAATATTATAGATACCGTTGTGAATCCGATATTTTGAATTTTGAATTTTTAGTGTTATATTCGTTATCAGCGACCTCAAAAACCCCTAATTACCAAGTTTCAGAAAAATCGGATGAAATCTTGAAATGAGAGTAACCTCGCTCTCGGACCGATTCTCGTCTGTTCTGCGCATAGACAAAGAGCGTAGCAGAGGGTAAGACGGTTAAGTGAGGGTTTGGACGTTCCAGCCCTGCCTTAGGCACGTCCCATGCGCGAAGCGAGGTTACTCTCATTTTGAACGGAGTATAGCAAGGTGGAGGCACTTTTGGGGCCCGCGCCCTGATTTTCAATTGTTCTAGAGACAGTTCAGTTTTTTCCAACGCGCTTTGATGCAATGTAATTTTATTAAGAATGTATATATTAATTTTAGTATATCTTTGCGTTTATATTCCAACGATATCCAGCACCACAAAATAACATCTCACTGGGTGTTATGAGGCGTCCGTCTAATCTTAAACACCGACTTTACAACCGCTTAATCGTACAATAATATTGTAAAAGGTTAATCATTTATTTCATAAGATATCGGTAAACATGTAACATACGAATCGTATTTTATATTTACAACAAAAATTGATTTACAAACAATTTACAAACAGTTCTCTCCGTTATTCTGCACCTATACTTTTTACCCGTGGCAAACATAGATTGTAAAACGAGCTGTCGACGAAGTTATCCAAATTCTGCCACTTCACCCAATGGTAATTTTCCAATTGTTCGGTTCCTCGTGCTCTGCCGATGAAATGTGGATCCACGATTAGCAAGTACGTATTTTTCGATCCTTCGTGAATTCCCACCACGCACTTGCTAGAGCAATCTCTGTCTCCGCCCATCATGACAGGACTACCAAGTTCCTCGAAATGAGTCTTAATAACAGGAACTTGGTCTTTCAAGGCTCTACCACTGGGAACGTGTACGATCTTACTGAGAACTTCGTACAAGTGGTTCAACACGAGGCATACCTACGAGACACTAAAGATCAGCTTGTTTATTTCTATCGATAGAGGAGGTGGATTGATAAAAATCTTGAATATTTTTGAAATAATGAGAGAGAGAAATTTTTTATATAATTATCATAACGTAATAATTTTTCTAATATCAGATCAGCTCATATATGTTTGTGAAAGCGAAAAATATTTTAATGAGAAACAAGTACCGTAAGTGATAAACTTAATGTAAAAAAGTTATAGTATAACAATTATTTATAATACTCGGCCCAGTGGCTGATCGAGATGAAACTTGGTAGGTGTTACGAGAGGTGTGAAAGGACTCGAAATATACAATCTTAATTTCGGAAGGAAAAATAGGCCAACGTGTAGCGGGGTGTTGTTCACACGTTGCAACAGTATTATGGTACTTCGGGTTTGCTCGACATCAGACGTCTAAATGCGAACGCAAAAAAAAGTTTTCATCTTGAAATATCAGAATTAATTTAAAAAATAGAAGTGTCTGGGTTTCAAGCAGAGAAGTCCGGGGCTTTAATGCTCTCTATTTTAGATTAGTGACTTTATAAATGGCAACCCTACCCCCGTATAACACGGTTTCGTTCTAACACGGTTCGGGAATTGGGGAAAATTCTCGTGCAACACGGCATCCTAGAACATGGTTTCAGAATTAGGGTAATACCCGAACAATATGGAACGTAATAAGAGCTTTTAAAAGCAAAAAATATTTCATTTGAAATTAGGGAAATCTCCGAATAACACAGAACATAATGAAAGCTTTTAAGAGCAAAAGATATCTCATTTGAAATTTTTCATTCGAGCGTGGATGACGTATCGGATTTTGTTCGCGGAGTATTAAGTACATACATTTTAAAACTTTGCGTTTTTCTTTTTATTATGTTACGGGTTTACGCGGTCTTGTCCTCACATGGAGCGTAAAACTTGTTTGGGCTTGTGGATTGGTCTAAACGTTCACCGTATGAGGGTGATACGTTGTTGACAACCAATCCGACAGGATTGGAACCGTCGGCGTACGTGGTATATACGCCGTTCTCCAAAGGATGGAAAAGGTTGGAAGTCCGACGTGTGCAGTTAACACGTCGCTGGTAAGGTTTGTGGTGGACCGGCCAGAACATTCAACGCATGTGGTTCTACGTCGCTCTCCAACAAGTCCGATAGGATCGGAACCGTCGGCGTACGTGGTATATACGTCGTTCTCCAAAGGATGGAAAAGGTTGGAGGTTCAACGTATACGTTGACGGTGCGGGGTGGTGGACCGGTCCGAACGTTCAACGTATGTGGTTCTACGTCGTTCTCTGACAAGTCCGATAGGATTGGAACCGTCGGCGTACGTGGTATATACGCCGTTCTCAAAAGGATGGAAAAGGTTTGGTAATTGTGAGGACAGTACGTACCGTAATGTCGGATATACCTCGAGCGGTTAAGGTATATCCTTGGTGAGTCTAGCAATTCCGTTACTAATGTTACGAGGAGATGGTTAATTGAATATAGGCTAAGCAATTCTACAACAACTATATTCTAATAATATTCAATTATGGGTACAATAAGATTACAATGTTTAAATATGAATTAGAATGGTTGATTCTTGGCTGAGCAAGAATATTCCTTCTCGACTTTACACGGTGAGAACGCGGGGACGTCGTAGACAAGTATGTCTAGTTGACACTTACGAATTTAGTATTATACTGGGTTGCTCGAAAGGGAATTGAGCCCGATCTTGCTCGTGTCGAACGATGACTAGACAGATACTGTGCTACTTTAACGTTCCGGGTAACTCTGAACTGAGACTGCCCCAGAGCCCCGAAAATCATGTCCTTATATACTCCAATTACATTATACATAGATTAAAAATTTTCGAGTGAGTATTATTCAACCTATTTTTAAAGAAATGGTAATTATGTTTTCCATTTTTGTGAATTAATTTGCAGCCCTGAATTATGTCTGGCGGAAATAAGAAAATACATATTATTTTTATTTAATACATGGATCGTTTATTTTGAAAGTGGTGTAAGTCCATTTTCTCTTGTTTCAAGAAAATTAAAGGTTAACATATCTGTTAATTAAAAAATTAAGGCAAATTATATGAAGTCTGGCAATGTTTCTACTGTTTTATCAATATGTAATTTGGTTATATAAAGTTCTTTTAGGCGTATTTTACTAAAATGATGTATACTTACGGGCTGCAAATGGACTTACACCACTTTCAAAATTAGACAATTGTAAAAATCGTTTAATTTCAATTTTGAAAAATCAAATATCACTTAAAATATACTTCATATTAATCCAATTTTGTTTACAAATAATGACACGATATAAAATAGATAGAATTTCGATAGAAAATTATTTTAATAAAGATATTTCTCTTAATGACAAAAATATAATAGCATGTTTTTTTTCATTTTTCGAACCTAATCCCCTTTTTTGTACTACAGTAAATTCTCTACAAGTGTCAGTCAGTTTGGATTCTACAAGTGACAGTATAGATGGTCCTACGCCTAGATCTGCGTCATTGCTGCGCCCATGTTATCTCGCTCGCTGTCAGTCAAGCGTGAAACGCTACACCACTCGGTTTCTTTTACGAGATTGCACGGCTCAACAATTCATAATAGAAAAATATAATTTCTTTAATTTTACTTTTCCTCATCTGAAATTTTTTATTAACATGTTGGTGAGATTTTTCTAATGAAAATGAGATCAAACACGATATAATTTGAACAACATTTACTTATTAATACTTATTGAGTAATTAATTTAATGTCGGCCTCCTCCACGTAAAAAAAAAATGTAGGGCCGATTCTACAAGTGTCGGTCAAATATAGGGTCGATTCTACAAGTGTCAGTCAAACGGCAGGCCAATTCTCCAACTGGCAGTCAAACGGTAGGCCGACTCTATATCTGGCGTGACAGTGAACGTGTTAATAAGTAAATGTTGTTCAAATTATGTTGTGTTTGATGTCATTTTCATCAGAAAAATCTCATCGATATGTTAAGAAAAATTTCGGGATAAAAAAACGTAAAATTAAAAAAGTTGGTATTTAAATCGCTTGGTTGCCTCGACTCACGTTTCATCCTTATCTTTTATTTGCTGTCTTTGTCTACGTTCGGCAAACTACAAAGGCGGGCGCGAGGCTCGAAAACGTGGTCCCTGATTCTACGAGTGTCAGGTTTAGCTTCCTTGCCGTCTGACACTTGTGAAGAATATACTGTATATGTATATTTTTAATTTGTTTACTTTACATTATATAGTTTTGTTGTTTTGTATATTTTTCATTTGCATGTGCTAATTCCATTAAATACTTGTGTTACAAATAAAATTATTACAAATTATCCCCAAAATCCTATTTAATTGGACGAAGAAGAGCATCACCCGTCTACGGTAACCGTCACCCACATATGGGTGACGTGGCGATCAACGTGTTAAAGTCAACTTCCCTCCTGCTTGTCCTCCTGATTTTTTTTTCTCGCATATATCGAAAGTACAACTCTTTAAAAATGTGCTCCTAAAATTTTATAGTTGTACTCGATAAAATAACGAAGTTATAGCTCGTTTAGTGCGACACATCAAAGGCCGGCGATAGGGAGAATGGAGTTTCGCAACAGTAAATCGCGTGGTAATCTGTACATACATGTGAAATTTACTTAGATTTGTGATTGAGGTTCGGAAAAGTGTATTTAAAGTAATAATAATAATAGTTTATTAACACCAGTGAAGAAATATGTAGCGACCAGCTACAGCGGAAAACATTTGGCGAGCAGACTACCAGCACGGTTTATGACGTGCGCGCT